CTCTCTCTCTCTCTCTCTCTCTCTTTTTGACTTTCTCTTTCCACGTTCTCCACGTTCCACATGTGCTGACCTACAGCCTACAGTTCTGTCTGGAGCTCATCTCTACAGTTCCCATTTCTCTCCACATTTCTCTCAATCCCTCCCATACCTGACCACTTTGCCCCTCCCCAGGCAGGAGTTTGAGGCAGACAGGAAGCCAGATCTGCACCGGGATGTTTACCTCCAGGACATTCACTGCGTCTCCTCCTTGTGCAAGGCCTATTTCAGAGAACTGCCAGATCCGCTGCTCACGTATAGACTCTATGACAAGTTTGCTGTGAGTTTTGAGAGGCAGGGGGTGTGGGAGGAAGGCTCAGGGTGCAGCCTTGGTTTTGATATCCAAGGTATGTCACGTGCCAGTCTGACTACTAGTGATCCTGAGTGGCAGGGACGAAAAATTACTGAGGAAAGATCCTGCCCGTCCCCAGTCTCCTAGTCCTGCTACTCCTGCCATCCCCGTGTCCCTTTTCTCTTTGCTGTCCCTCTACCAACGCCTTTCCTTTCAAGCCAGCCGACTGGATGAACATGGCTACTGAGATGGTAGGATTTGGGGGGAGAATAGAGGCAGATTGGCAAAGCTAGAAGATCCTTTAAAACTCAATTAGACCAAAGTTTCCCTGAATTTAAGAGAATGCGAATACTTTCTAGAAGAAAAGACTTTTTCAATATTGTCCCTTCGTTCGCTTTAATTGTTTAGTGAATATTTCTTGAACGGGATGCACATGACAAACATGCTATCCTGAGTTGAGTTGCTCTTTTAAAATCAACTGCATTTTATTTCATGTTGATATTCTAAAGGGTACGTTGGCTGAGTGTAGGCCTCTCTGGACAACTTGAAGTCACCCTATCATCCCTGGGGTACCCCTGGAGTGGAATCCAGAGATGTATTCCAGTACCAGAGCTTTTACCAGTGAGGACACTGAGGACAGAGAGCAAGTGTGTGTTGCCTAAGGCCACACGGTTGTTAAGTGGCATAGTTAAGACCCAGCCACAGGTCTTATGGACCCCAGATTCTCTCTACTACTTCAGTCCACCTGAAGATCTATGAGAGAGTCAGTCCATAGATCGCACCTAAGAATTTGGCTTGGAGCTCTGGGGAGTGAGCAAGGGCATTCCTGGATCTTTGACTTCTGCTCTTTGCACCTTTCCATACAATCAGGAGGCTGTGGCAGTGCAGATGGAGCCTGAGCGCTTGGTCAAGATCTTAGAGGTGCTTCGAGAACTCCCTCTCCCAAACTACAGGTGTGTGGGGCTCCACCATGTTTACCCAAGGGTCCCAACTCCTGCACCTGGCCTGAGCTCTCTCTCCACCTGGCATTGACATGTCCCTCCCACTCCAGACCTCAGGCTCCAGTTTGAATGTGTTTTTGTTGAGTGATGTCTCCTTCCTGCAGGACCCTGGAGTTCCTTATGCGGCACTTGGTGCATATGGCCTCATTCAGCGCCCAGACCAACATGCATGCCCGAAACCTGGCCATTGTGTGGGCTCCCAACCTGCTCAGGTGGGAGCACAAATGAGCAAGGTGTGGGGATCCTAGGCGAGACTAGCTATGAGAGGATGAGGTGTGGCTGTATAAGTACAATGCAAAGAGAAGGCCGTGAAATTTCAAGGAACCCATTGAGGAACAGAAAGTTCAGGAGTCGTTGAGATGGATGCAGCCCACCTGCAACCACATTGAGTTCCTCCTCTGAGCTTCTCCAGCCCCTGACTGAGCAGGCCTTCGTGGTTCCCATCACTTCAGGAAACATGATAACATCTAACAACTCAACTCATACTTTAGAGTTGGAGTCAACTCATGGTTGACTCTCCAGTGGCATTTGAGAGGCTGAAGATTGCATGAGAGGAGCTTTCTCATCTTTCTCCTTTAGAGCAGCTGGTAGAGTCAAACTACCTGCCTTTGAGTTGGAAGCACAACTCCTTATTCTCTAGGCTACCAAAGCGCCAACATGATATGTGGTAGCTACATATTCATTGGATAGATAGATAATGTCTTAAAGTTCATGTGACTGGCCTGCATATCACTCTGTGGTACAAGGCCAGCTATGTGAAGACCTGCAGTTCATTATAAACAAGTCACCAAAGGATGCAGTGGTTAATGCTCAGGTGGGTGTCCTAGCAAGCCTCCCGGAAGAAGCAGCATTGAGACTTGAATACCGTGTATGATGTAAGAAGTGGACATGGGATTAAGGACATCTAAGAGGAAAGATACAGACATTTTCAGGGAGAATTAGGATGAGGAGGTGTGATGAGGCAGGAGAAGAGTAATTCCGCATCTCCACAGGTCTAAGGACATAGAGGCCTCAGGCTTCAACGGGACGGCAGCCTTCATGGAGGTGCGTGTGCAGTCCATCGTCGTCGAGTTCATCCTCACACATGTGGACCAGCTCTTTGGGGGTGCTGCCCTCTCTGGTCAGTGTCCTTCCCACCCACCACATAAATATTTTTTATCTAGGGGGTTATGTCAGAGTTAGAGAGGAGCAGGATAGAGCAGGGTTTAGGATTGTTGTACATAGGGTCGCTATGAGTCGCAAACGACTCAACGGCAAATAGTCCAGTTTCTCCATTTTTTGGATAAAATCTTGAGTCCAAGTATAGAGAAGAGATGCTGCTTATTATCACATGGCAAAGACTTTGAAAAGATAATGGCACAGCCAGGACTTGAACAGGGCTAGTCTTCTCTGAGTTCACAGTGTAGTCTGACCCTTACAGGTATTGAATGCTAAATTTCACCCCCAATCTCAGGTTAATGCCTTAGAATATCTTAGGCTTCTCTGTCCATGGGATCCCCTCTTCAGGGCCTTAGAAAGCCTGTCCTTTGGGACTCTGAGTATATATTCAGCCTGGCAATTGGTGAGTTGAGGGTGGAGGTGGTGGAAATGAAAGGCTTGGTGACTGAAGTGTTTTTCTGGTCTTTT